TCATACTGAACTGAAGTGTTTTACATGACAATAATACTGAAAAAGACTATGGTGCTTTATAAAAGCTTTTGTGTGTGCGTGTGTGTGTAATAAACAGATTTGCGTTGTTTTGAAAAACAAACAAACAAACCATCAGCTGGAAACTGGAACTGATGTTACAGACTGTGAGTGAAAAATACTTCGAGAGCATGTTAAATCCTCAGTATTTCATCTTTTAAAATTGAATTAAATCTGCTATTAATGAATAATGACGCATCATTGAAGTGCAAGCTTTTTTTTTATTTGATGTTTCTGTCCTTGCAGATGTGGAGAGAGACAAAAGCATGCTCCTGTATGTACATGTTTAATAAATAGGTCAGCATAGGAGGCCAAGAAGAGTCCAGTCTATTGCTCTTATGGTCTAACATTCATAATAAAAGTAACAGTCACTGAACAACCCAGTGACTTTTCTCAGTGTCTCATATAAACCATTTCAGTGTCTCATCTTCAACTGCAGGTCTAAACATTCTTCTCTTCTGTCAGAGCACCAGAGCAAATATCTGAACCAGAGCACCGACGTTAATGGACAAACTGATTTCTTTAGTCACAATAAAATCATTCATGTGCAAGGATTAGCTACCAAACGTGACTTTCCCCAGCAGGTGACAACTCACCTTAGCTATCTAACAAGGATGTTTGCTACAGATAGCTTAAAAACACATTTAACTTACCAAAAAAGTGCAGCGGGGCCTCAGGTCCTTGTGTTGGTTTGTCAGTTTTACAGCTAAAAACCACAGTGTGTGTGGTTTTCAAAAATAAACACTGGCCTTCCTCTCAGCTTTGCCACTCTGTTTGCGATTCTTGAACAGAGATGTGCAAGTTTGTCACTGACTACAGCTGCAAGTCAAAGCTGTTATGATGATGTTGCACTACAATTTTACAGCATTATGGTCATAATTAGAATCAAACTTATGACAAAAGATACCGAAACACCCCTTGATGAGCACCACTAATAATGACACAAAGCGTCTTAGGGAAAATTTTATCTGAGGAGAACTTTTTTAAGGAGCTGTTAGGTTACATCTTTTACATCAGCTAGCACAAAGGAGCTAGTGGATTTGATCTCTAGCTAGAAGCTAGAAAGTGACAGTGTCAGCTTACTGCAGGATGTTGAAGGTCACTTAAATTAGCTTTCAGCTGGAACACCTCTGACTCATCATATAGCTGCAACAGTATGAAAGGCAATAATATAAAAATAAACATGTTGCCTAATTGCAACTACAGCAAGAAATTAGCTTCTAGTTATTCCTTCTAACTACACATCAGGCTTTCAGCTAGGTCTGAGTTAGGCCTGTCTCTAAAATAATTATTTTTATTTTATTACTTTTATTCTTATGTGTCATTTAAGCTCAAACATCTTTATATTTACTGATTATGTTCTGATCAGTATTGAGCATACTGTGATCAAGAAAATCACACATCAATCATAATTCTGTGTTTAACCCGTACAACATTTAACACTATTTTTCTTGCTCAAATGTATGATGATGGGTCGGCAAAAACACAGTTCTTATCTTCTCAAACTCAGACACAAATAGAAAGGTCAATAATGGATCATGTCTACTGTCGTGTGTTCTTTTTCTCTAGGATAAAGAGAGCTCAGGTTCAGTTCAAGTGTAACAGATTTATTGTATCAAGCAGTTCAAAGAATAATTCATGTACATGGATCTCCTTCCGGTTAGAAAACCAAAGTCTACAGCAAACTGCTGTAGCCAACCACCAGAAGAGAGATGCTCCTAACTTAGCGGTGTACACATATTCAGAAAAGAGAATGTGCTTCTATCTGATTGGTCGAAAAAGCGTTGCGAAGAGGCCGTGGTTTATACTTTAGCCCCCCTTATTGATGGTCTTCTTCTCCTCCCTCAGTTGCAGTTTTACCTGGGGATGGACACACACACACACACACACACACACTTACTTATCCCTGATCTGTTACCCAGTTTCATGCATCTAAAGTAGCATCTATCTTTGAGAGCTACTGTCTCTTGACCTCGCTTGGGTTACTCCCACATTCTTTTCACTAAGTCTGCACAAGCAATCCTCAGTCATGTGAATCTATAACTTTTCTGTTTATTTTATTCTGAGTGCTCAGTAGTGAAATTAGCTATTAAAGTGATCTAAAATTAATTACAGTCCCAATACCATTTGCCAGCACAGGTCTTGTAAACCAAACTTTTCTAGTCCTCACACTATGCACACAAAAACTAGAATAGCTGCTAACATATTCATCAGACTTATATCTAATTGTTCTGTCCTCACTAAGCGTTGTCCTCGTGAACGTAGACTCAGCTATACAGACAGCTAAACACTCTCCTAATCAAAATCCAGGGAACAGGCCAATGTGTTGAGTTGGATGATTTAATAAGGAAAAAGTGTGAAACTGTTGACAAAACCAGAAATAAACCAATAAAAATGTTGCCTCAATATACAGTATAACAAACACATATTCAAAAATATGAGTACAATATTTATCTGCTTAGTGAGTGCCCGAATAAAACATCAAATGAAATCACACTCATGATCAAAACGTTAAAGAAACCACATGGCATATGAGCTAGCTTAACCTTACTAGCTTAGGTTATACATGCATTCAAATTAAATTCTAACTACAAACTATATCACGCCTTCACAACAAATAATAATGCACACAAGTTGTCTCAGTGATAACAAACAATATTACTCACAGATGATGACGTTTATCAGCTTGTGAAGGCATGGATGGCAACAGATTAACGGAGGTGAAACTGCCTCTGGCTCGATCTTACAGAGTAAAAAAAAATACACAAAAACAACCACTAGAGGGCAAACTGCTGCAGAACAGAAAATACCTAATGCCAGCATACTCCCCACCTGACATCCCTAGGATGTCAAACTGCACATCACTTGACAGAGTTTCTCTGCAACAGGAGTATAACTCCAGACACTGGCCTTAAGTAAAGTTTTGGAACACTGTCTCTGAAAACTTTCACCTCGACCTTCCTGACCTTCCCATCGTCACTTGGAAAAGTCCTTGTGATCAGTCCTGTGGGCCAGTCATGTCTCTTCAGTGAATTATCTTTCATTAGAACAACGTCTCCGTCCATGAGATTAGGTCTCTCCGTTCTCCATTTCTTTCGACCTTGTAGACTACTGAGGTACTCCCTTTTCCACCTCTCCCAGAATGTGTTGGCCAAGCTTTGAACCTGATGCCACTGACGTCTGAAGATATTACTATCATCAAAGTTACCAGGAGGAACAGGGAGTACAGCAATCTTCTGAGTTAGCAGCATAGCAGGAGTGAGGATGAGAGGTTCGTCTGGATCTGTGGACACTGAAGTAAGTGGTCTGGAATTGACAATTGCAGTTACCTCTGCCATAAATGTTGTCAGGACCTCATGTGTGAGCTGAAAAGACCCAAGCTTGAGGATCATTGCGTCAAGGATCCGACGTGTGACACCGATCATCCTCTCCCAGCTTCCCCCCATGTGTGAAGAGTGGGGAGGGTTAAACAGCCATACACAGCCCTGATCAGACAGGTAGTTGGACACTTCCTTGTTGTTACAGCCTTTGGAACTGATCCCAAGCTCTCGACAGGCTCCAACAAAATTAGTACCACAGTCTGACCTTAGCTGTTTGACAGGCCCTCTAACTGCAAAGAAGCGTCTTAGAGCGTTAATGAAACTGGATGAATCCATTGATTCGATGACCTCGATGTGTATGGCACGCACGCTCATACATGTGAAGATGATTGCCCAACGCTTACTGTTGGCTAGCCCTCCATGTGTCCTCCTTGAGGTGACACACCATGGTCCGAACACATCCAATCCAACAAAGGTGAACGGAGGATCTGTACTTAAGCGATCAGCAGGCAGGTCTGCCATTATCTGCTCCTCCTCTCTCCCACACAATCTTCGACATGTCACACAGTTGTAGACCAAACTGCTGACAGACCGTCTTCCTCCAACAATCCAGAAACCAGCACTCCTCAAAGCGCCTTCCGTCAAGTGTCATCCTTGATGGCAGACTTGCTCATGGCAGTGTCTGATAAGCAAGGAGGTAACATGATGTTTACCAGGCATGATAACTGGCTGACCCTCTTCTGCTGTGAGCTGTGATTTTTTCAGTCATCCTCCGACGCGGAGAAGACCTTCAGAATCAATGAAAGGACAAAGCTTGCTGAGAGAGCACTGTTTAGGGACCTGACCTCCCTTTTGTAAGCAGTGTATTTCTTCTGAATAGACCTGCCTTTGGACAGCAAGCAAAATTCTGATCCTTGCATGATGCAGCTGGTCTGGACTGAAAAGCAGCTTGCAGTTGTGCCAACCATGGCAAGGACCTTCTTTTGCTGCCCTTGTAAAGGAGTAAGCAATGTGGCAGAGCCTGGCAATAGCTCTGGTGAGTGACCTCCAACTTGAAAATCGCTCAAAGCGTTTACTGCCCAGCTGAAATGACAAATTTGTGGCACAAGTCACTACTTCTGGACGTAGTTCCACATCTGTTGCGGGTTCAACTAGGCTGAAAGCTTCCTGTTTTAAGTGACAATGTTGCTTGTCTACAAGAAAGGCTGGTCCAGACAACCAGGAGGAAGCTGCAAGCTGGTTAGCTGGAATCGCTCTAGTTGCATGGTCAGCTGGGTTGACATCAGAAGGAACATAGTTCCATTGGCTTTTGTTGGTTGAACGTCTGATCCTTTGTATCCTGTTATGAACATAGACGTAGAACCGTCTAGAGTCATTAAATATATACCCAAGTACTACTTTACTGTCTGAGAAAAGCTTGATGTCGTTTACCTGAATGTCCACCTCTGCAGACATAACCTCTGCCAGTTCCACTGCAAGAACGGCTGCACAGAGCTCAAGCCTTGGGATGGTGATGTCAGGCTTAGGTGCCAACTTTGTTTTCCCAAACAGGAATCCAACTTCGCTATGTCCTGCAGCATCTGTGACTCTCAGATAAGCAACAGCAGCAATAGCTTTGGTAGATGCATCACAAAAGATACAGATCTCCTTGCTCTGAGCTGTGGAGAGGGACCATTGTGTAGGCCCTTGGGATCTTCAACTCTCTTAGGTCTTGAAGAGATGTGCACCACCTCTGCCACTGTTCAAGCTTTTCTCGGGGCAGTGGTGCATCCCAGTCACAAGTCTCAGTGGTGAGTTCTCTCAAAATGAGGCGGCCCTGAACACTGAAGGGAGCAGCGAACCCCAACGGGTCAAATAAGCTGTTGATAGTAGACAACACACCCCGACGAGTAAAGGGTTTTTCAGCGCAGTCCACACGGAAAGTTAGAGTATCTGTAGCAAGATCCCAACCAAGACCCAGGCTGCGCTGCATGGGAGGGGAGTCCTGACCCACGTCCAGGTCTTGCAGGTTGCTAGCTAGATCTTCAGCTGGAAATGCCCTCATGACCTCAACACTGTTAGACACAATCTTGTGTAGTCTGAGGTTGGATTGCGCTAGCATGTCTTGTGCACCTTTCAGCACTTTGATGGCATCTTCTGCACTGAGGAAAGATTTCAGGCCATCATCAACATAGAAATGTCTGTGCACAAAGCTCCACACTTCGGGTCCATAGTCCTCTTCACCCTCCATAGCCGTCCTCTTCAGGCCATAAATGGCCACAGCTGGCGAGGGACAGTTACCAAACACATGAACTCTCATGCGGTACTCCAGCACTTTGTCATCAAGTTGGTGGTTACGAAACCACAAGAATCGGAGGTGGTCCCGATGATCCTCCCTCACTAGGAAACTGTGGAACATCTGTTGAATGTCTGTCATCACAGCAACTGGGTCCATTCTGAAACGCATGAGAACCCCAATTAGGGTGTTGTTGAGGTCCGGGCCTTGTAAGAGCACATCATTCAATGAGATGCCTTTGAACTGTGCGCTTGAATCAAAGACGATCCTTATTTTTCCCGGTTTCTGGGGGTGATAGACACCAAAGGAAGGTAAATACCAATACTCTTTGTCAGGCTCTGGTGGAGGAGCTGGCTCAGCGTGTCCATTTTTGAAAATATCCTCCATGAACTCTATGAAATTATGTTTCATCTCCGGTTTCCTATTCAAGGTACGGCGAAGTGACATCAGTCGGCTGAGGGCTTGCTCTCGATTATTTGGTAAACATGGTCTTGGACTACGAAATGGCAGGGGAGCCACCCAGCTGTTGGAATCATCTTTCTTGAACTCCTTGTTCATGATCTGGAGGAAGATTTCATCTTCGATGGAGGGTGCCAGCTTATCATCCTCTTTTGAATGGCTGAAGACCAGCTCACCTAAGCTTGGCTGACTGGAAGTCAGTGTGTCAGGGGATATTAGCTGTTCCTCTATGAACTTTTCTTTGCAGATGATCCTGTTCTCACAAGGCTTGAAGTAGCTTGGTCGTCCATTCTCAAGGACACTGGTCTTGAATGTGTTGACAGTCGGCCGGTGAGCCCCACCGAGACAGACGTCACCGACTATTACCCAACCCAGGTCCACTTGTTGGGCATAAGGTTCGTTGTGACAGCCGTTACGCTGACTGCGCACTTTGTGAACTTGGATGATGTCCCTCCCAAGTAACAAAAGTATCTCAGCTGACGCATCAAGAGGAGGGATCCTGTCAGCAATACACTTGAGATGCTTGTGGCTTTGGGCAGCTTCTGGAGTAGGGATTTCGTCCCTATTATTGGGAATCAGGTTGCACTCAATAAGACTCGGGAATGATAAGTGTAACTGTCCATCAGCTGACTCCACCATAAATCCAGAGGCCCTTCTTACAGCAGTCTCGGTGATTCCTGAGCATGTTTTGAGGGTATAGGGGGAAGCCTCACCCGGGATGTCAAACATGTCAAAGAATGCTGATCTGGCTAGCGCCACATTGCTTTGGTCATCCAGCATCACGTATGTCCTCACCTTTTGGTCTGGGCGACCCTTGGGATACACACTGACCAGACAGATTTTGGAACATGATTTACCTTTAAGACCCTCACCACACACGGCTGTGCATGAAGAGGCTGCTATGTCAGTGACACACTCGGTAGGCTCCCCACCATGCTCTGCAGAAGGTGGTCTGGAACTTGGAGCCCAAGGTGCCGGTCCAGGATGGAGTGCTGCAATGTGCCGGTCGCTGTCACACTCAGAGCAGTGGGTGTCAGCTTTACACTCTTTAGCTTGGTGAGTTGCTGAAGCACAACATTTAAAACATATGGAGTGCTCCACCAGGAAGCGTCTTCGCTCTGCAAGTGGTCTTTCTCGAAAGCCTCTGCATTTCCTGAGGGAGTGAGGTTTCTTGTGGAGAGGACACTCTCTGTCTAGATCAACGGTGAGTCCTTTGGAGGACTGAGAGGTGGGGGGGGGTTTCCTACCTCAGTTTTACTTACGGATAAAGGAGGTTTGGATTTCCATTGTTTGGAGAAGGATCCGTCACCTTTGAACACAGCTGAAGGACCTGGAGGACGGGGCTGTGGCCCCCCCACACCCTCTAGCAGATTATTACATGAAGGAACCTTTTAAAAAAAAACAAAAAAAAACAAGCGCGTCCATGCTCACAGGTGTACACACGGGTGATCACACCCACAAACTACACCCTTTTTGGCTCCTACCTCAAAGCACACTGTGTTCTGTTGATCTTATGTGCTGCACAATAATGTTTAACATTTAGTATTTACTGTCATATTCACATATATCATTGTGATGTTGTTTATTCTATTACTCTTGTTCTCTTCTGCTTGCTTTCTTTTTTCTTTCTCAGCAGGTGATCCAGGTGATTGATATATGCATTTTTTTTCCTCTGCCCGTTTTGTTGGTTTTTGTCTTTTGCCCTTCTCCCCCGTCCCTCTTCTCAGCTGTTTCTCTTTCCCTCTTTCTTTCTCCCCTTCTTTCCCCCAGTCAAGTCTGTCCCGTATTCAGTAAGTGAAAATAAAATAAACAATAAAAGGTGAATCAAATGGACCATTACGGCAAGGCTGGGATGGTCAGTTTGGTAAAGTAAAATCCGTTGGGTATCTTTCTTTGCCTTTAGACAACAATTCTGATGGCAAAAGAGCCAAACGGGACAGGCCAAAAAAAAACAAAAATGAACTGAAGTTAGCAAAAGCAAAGCTAGGATCATTTCTCATCTCTGCATGGTTATACACGAAGTCCACAAAAAATGAGAAAGGGGGATATGGAACTTGGTGCTCCCTCTTAAAGCGAGACCCCTGAGTTATCCACTGTTCTTGGACATTGTGGGGCAGTTTCTCCGCTATAGGGTTTATTCCCCTTGCAGTGTCTAGGAAGCTGAGCCCTGGCAAATATCCCTCTTGCTTAGCAGCTTCGATCTCTAGGAGCAGGTCTCCGAGTTCTTGAAGCTTCTGGTGATCTCTATTTGAAAGCTTTGGGAAGTGGTTCAATCTATTGAAGAGAGAAGCTTCAATGGCCTCTGGAGAACCATAACACTTGTCCAGCCTTCGCCAAAGCATGTTCAAACCCATGAATGGATTGTTGACATAAACTGCCCTTATCCTCTTGGCGTGGTGTAGCGACTCCCCACCAAGCCACTTAATGAGCAGGTCCAGTTCTTCACTAGGTTTGAGGCTAAGTCCCTCCACAGCGTTAACAAAGCTAGATTTCCATGACAGATAACTAGCAGGCTGGTTATCAAACACTTTTCCAGCTGTGACAAGGTCTCGACGCGCCAGATATATATCGCCAACACGGACGATGATGCAGTTCTACACTGCAATCATCGAGTCCATCCTCACCTCCTCCATCACCGTGTGGTACGCTGGAGCCACTATCAGGGACAAACAGAGACTGCAGCGTGTTGTGCGCTCTGCTGAGAAGGTGATTGGCTGCAGACTCCCATCTCTGCAGGACCTGTACACCTCCAGGACATTGCGGCGTGCAGCTCGGATCTCAGCTGACCCTTCTCACCCTGGACACAGTCTGTTTGACCTGCTCCCCTCAGGCAGGAGGCTCCGGTCCATTCGCACCAGAACCTCTCGCCATAAGAACAGTTTCTTCCCCTCTGCTGTTGGACTCATGAACAATAACCATATGACTGTTCCCACCACTAACACATGACCCTACGCTGTGTCACTGCATCATTCCATGTTTGGCACTGATCACCACCTGCACTCATGTATATATCTTTCTACGTAGCACTTTTAATTCTTATTCTCATGTATATATCTCATGTATATCTCATGCACATATCTTTCTACGTAGCACTTTTAATTCTTATCCCTACTTTTATTTTTCCATGTCTATTTAAGTGCTATTTATGACACTATGTTTGCACTGAAGCACCGCAGCAATTTCCTAATGTTGTAAACCTGCTCAACATTTGGCAATAAACCCCTTTCTGATTCTGATTCTGATATACAGCTAACTCAGATACACCTTGAGCCTCCAGTGGTGAGCGGGGTGGAAGTTGGTTTGTTGAGTCTGTGCAGCGATGTGTGTGCATGGAGGGGACATCTCTATCTGTGTTAAAAGACAGAGGGTCAGGGCGATTCTTTCTCTGGTTGCCAGGGTGCAGGCCTTCAGCCGAGCAAGGAGAAGGATACGGCTGATATCTGGGAGGTGTCTGTGTTGTGGTACAGAAGCAGCAGCGTGTGTTTCTTTCGCATTTTGAGCTAAAGCATAACTCTGCCCTGAAGAGAAATGTGCTTGGATGAACTCACCAGTTCGCTGTAATGACTGCTTCGTTGCTTGAGCATGACTGGCTTTACTCCCAAGGTCACAGTTGTCTAAATCCGCAGTCAGCCTCAAACACTTGAGCCTCTGCTGAGGCAGCCTCAGCTTCACACTCTTCTTTTAGTGCATTCAATGTAGCCTCTATGCGTGCTTTCTCCACTTGCATGTCTATTTGACGTTTTGCATAGGCTGCTCGTGTGCGTGCAGCTTCCGCCTTTGCACGAGCTTTAGCAGCAGCAGCACTAGCTGAAGATTTATTTGAACTTTGCTTGGAAAATGCAGCTGAGGCAGCACACTCTGACCTAACCTCCAGGCTCTGAATATCGGCGTCAATAGGGTTTGAGCTGGACATAGTTTAATACAGGCAGGTGAATGGGTCTTCAAATCCCGTAAAAAGATACAGAAGAAGCGAACATAGCCTCTTTGATGTTTTTCTTCTACTTAGTGGTTACTGGTGGCGAAGAAATAGGCTGCATAAGCACAAAAACACAAATTGTGCAAAAGTAATTGGCGGAAATGTTAAAGCTGGGAGTGTTCTGTCCTCACTAAGCGTTGTCCTCGTGAACGTAGACTCAGCTATACAGACAGCTAAACACTCTCCTAATCAAAATCCAGGGAACAGGCCAATGTGTTGAGTTGGATGATTTAATAAGGAAAAAGTGTGAAACTGTTGACAAAACCAGAAATAAACCAATAAAAATGTTGCCTCAATATACAGTATAACAAACACATATTCAAAAATAGGAGCACAATATTTATCTGCTTAGTGAGTGCCCAAATAAAACATCAAATGAAATCACACTCATGATCAAAACGTTAAAGAAACCACATGACATATGAGCTAGCTTAACCTCACTAGCTTAGGTTATACATGCATTCAAATTAAATTCTAACTACAAACTATATCACGCCTTCACAACAAATAATAATGCACACAAGTTGTCTCAGTGATAACAAACAATATTACTCACAGATGATGACGTTTATCAGCTTGTGAAGGCATGGATGGCAACAGATTAACGGAGGTGAAACTGCCTCTGGCTCGATCTTACAGAGTAAAAAAAAATACACAAAAACAACCACTAGAGGGCAAACTGCTGCAGAACAGAAAATACCTAATGCCAGCATAGGGAGTAATAGAAGAGTCGCACAGCACTTGGTGTAGCCCCACAGTTCTTGTAGTAGAAGAAAGACAGGTCTCAGTGGTTATGTGTGGACTATCGCAGGGTGAATGAAGTGTCACAGTTTGATGCCTACCCCATACCCTGGGTTGACAAAGCTCCTGAACCGGGTAGGCACCCGGTCCAGGAGCTTTACACAACACTGGATTTAACCAAGGGCTACTGACAGATTACCTTGTCTGCAGAGTCTAAGGAAAAAAATGGCCTTCTGTTCAACTTGTTCGGAGCCCCAGCCACTTTCCAGTGTCTCGTGCATCAGGTGCTGTGGCCGCAAGCTGCATATGCTGCCACCTACCTGGATGATGTCATCATCAATAGAGACACCTGGGCGGAGCATGTGCAGTGGGTGGTCATGGTCCTGGAGTACCTGAGGCGAGCGGGGCTCACAGCCAACCCGAAGAAGTGTGCGGTTGGATGGACGGGGTACAGTATCTGGGGTACCACTTGGGGGGCAGGCAGATGTGTCCACAGATGGACAAAACAGCAGCCATTGCATCCTGCTCTCGTCCCAAGACTAAAAGAGAGTGTGCGCTGGAAAGTGCAAATTGCGAAGTGCAAAGAGCAGACTGTGTGATTGCGCCAAAATAAAAGAAGGCGAAATGCAGCCCACTTGTTTATAATGGTCCTTTTGGGTTACAACAGTTTAGACACAGAGAGAAAAAGGAAATTAGCAGAGCTGGCATTTTGGCATTGGGGTGATCATTTATGATCATTTATCGAGTGCAAGCTAAAACAAGAGAGAGTGAGAGAGAGACAAAAGGCAGGATAGCAAGAGAGACTCAGGAACCTCGACAATTTTAAAGCATTAACTAAATTTACTCAATTTTAATAGTCACCTGGACACAAAAACCGGATGAAATCTGATTACAATCAGCTTAAAAATGAAATTGTTATAAAATACTGTATTTTGTGAGTCCCACGTCACCTCCTGAAAATGTTTCTGTTCTTAGCAAGGTAAGCATCTCACAGAGGTCTTGATGCATGCTTAATCATCCAGGTAAGGAAATCCCAAAAAGTTGATTCTGTTCATCTGGACTTTCAGTGAGAGAAACATTTCGTCACTGAAGACTCTCTTACTTGGATAAGAACGCTACGTCCAGATGAACAGAATCAACTTTTTCGGACACCTCACACAAGCGGCATGTGCACTCACAGACTCTTCTCGTGACTGAATGAAACTGCATTTCATGGCTGCTTGCACGGTCACCCTGTGTCTGTGTGAGCCTCCTTCTGAAACTCCTGCTTCCTCACTAAGACTTTTGTGATTTTAAATTTGCAATACATACAAGTGCTTTATGAATGTGTAAAAAGATAATATGCAGCTGGTACCATAGAGCTCTTTGAGTGGTCAGTAAAACAAGAAAAGTTCTATATAAACGTATACTTGTGCATGTCTGAATAGGCTGTAATTACATCAGAGACAATACATTTGAAAAAAAACAAAGATAACAAAGAGTTCAAGTTCACACAAATACATCACGTGTATTTCAGGTAAAATATTCATCAGTACAGACAAAAGAAATGCTGAGTGAGAAGTTAAAGTTTGCAGATTGCTGCTGTCACTTCCATCATGCCTCT